GAATGAATAATAGGAAGGAGGGTTGACTATCATGGTAGGTTATTTCTTTTCAGTACTTTAAAAACAAACGTCAGTCCTACCGTGAAACTCACCAGATCGGGTCAGTCAAAAGGAGGCCAGATGAGACCAGAGTGAGTTGGCAACAATTACATGACTGCATTTGGCAATGATGCGTAATGTGCACATGTAAGCGAACACACAGCACTTGCCTCGTTCAGGCACGCTCTGCTTACGTAATTCTCTCAGCAGCCCACTTCACAGATGAAGACACTGAGGCACAGAACTCTTAGGGGACCAAACCAGGTCACAAGCTCGTACGTCTGGGGACAGGGTCGGAACCCGGGCCGTCTGGCCCCAGAATCTAGGCTCTTACCCGCAGCCGTGAAAGCGCTGTATGCAAGACTCTTGAGACATTTTTACATTCGAATCTATAAGGCATCACCTAAGATGATAGTTTTTTTAATAACCCTTAATTGTTTTACATAACAAAGCACATAATTGAGGATAGCTTGACGTTGGCCCCACTGGCCAAGGAAGTGGCTCTCAGAAGTGTGGTGACACAACTCACCGCCAGGCGTCCCACGATGCTGCTGTCCAGCCGCTGTGGCATCTGCCCGTGGAGCCCAGGCGGTGGCACTGGGGACACCATCCTCTGCTGGTGGCAGGTCTCCCCACCTTCCGGGCCAAGGCTGGGGGCCCCGCTGCACCCAGTGCTCCTGTCTGCAGAGCGGGGTCAGGCCCTCGTCTACCTGCAGCCCCACCCCCGCTGATGCCAGCCCTCTGGAGTATTCCTTCCTCTCCTCCCTTCAGAAAAGCTGCTTTCTCATCATCCGAGAGGAGCATGTGATTAATGGCAAACCCAAAGTGCCTGTGGTTCTTGGATAATTGCTTTTTCAAAAAAAAAACATCTTTACAGCCACCTTCAGAACATAGTTGACTTCAGGCAGTTCAGAAGGAATTTCTGGGTGAGTCAAGGCGAAAAGGTCGTTGTCTGCAAGTGTCACACCTGTGTCCTTACGGCCACGCGCCGTGTTTCTCACCGCACGGCAGGAATGCTGAAACGCTGGGTACCTGCTGTAATGCCCCGCATCTTCCTCCTGATGCGATCAGTGAAGTCTGCTAGGGCTCCTAGCAAAAACGGAAGGCCTGGAGAGGAGGGGCCGCAATTTTGCTTATTCAGCTCTCGTAGGTGTGTGTCTGGGAGGCAAAAACATTTCTCCCGCTGTGGATGATGCACAGGGTTTGGGGGAAGTGTGGTCAGTGAGCAGTGAGCAGTGCTTCCCACTGAGTCATCAGGGACCCATTAAAATGCAGAAGCTGAGCAGATAGGGCTGGGCGGGGCCGGAGGCTCTGTGTCTCTAACGAGCTCCCGGGAGAGGCTGACGCTTCAGGTCCAAGGAGCCAGGACTTCGAGGGTGGCCCAGACCGCATATGGGAGAGGAAGGAGAGGACCCTTTAGGAGGGAAACCGAGACAGTTCACTCATCGCCAAGTCGGCCGTAACCCTGGTACCCGCCGGTCACTGCGAGGGGCGAGGGAGAGGTCAGTCTGGGCTCATCGGCCCATGGGGGGACAACGGTCCTTTGTCATCCATAAGCCTAGGCGCAGATTTGGGAAGTTGCCTGGGGTCCTCGGGGTGACAGCGCACAGTGTCAAGTGACAAGTGGGGTTAGACGTCCCAAAGGGCGTCTGCGGGAAAAGGTGTCACCACAGGTATGTTCATAGTTCCTGCATCACAGAAACCAGCGAGCCCAGGCCGCGAGGCCGCGTGCTGCAGGGCGTCCCCTCTCTGACTTTGGTTACAGGTCACCGGGGCGGCCAGGCACTACGCTTGCTCATCGATCCCGGCCTGGCTCAGGCCAGGCTCTGGTTTCTGAAGCGCAGGTTTGTGTTTGATAAGTGAAAACTAGAACTTTTTACAAAAAGACCCTGGTATCTTTGTTACTAAGAGCAGAAATGCCAGATGTGGGTGACTGCCCGAAGGGAAGGGAGGGGACCTGGCCTGTGCACTGAAAGGACCAGCTTCACAGGAAGTGGCCAGGCGAGCGCTGCTCAACCCTGTTTTCTTAATTAAATGGCAAAAGGTCTTTATCAGCGAGGCCAGCTTCTCTCTCACTCACCCATGGCCCATGATGCCCAGCTTGTGGCAGAGCAGAGATGCAAAACTAATGACTTTATTCTTTCTTCCCCTGCAGACGGGCTGGGGTAGATCCTGGCCACCACAGTGCCCTGTCCTTCCTTGTTCAGGTTCCCCCCTCAGGGCCACGTGTCACGTGCCTGTTCTCCCCCTAACCCACCTCCCTCCTTACTGCCTCTCGGCCTCCGACCTCGCCCCGGCCTCTGCACGCCGGCAGATGGGCTGTGGCAGCTCATCGACAACTGTCTCTGGATACAGAGCAGAAGACGCGTTCTCTCCTGAGGGTCTGTCTTCTTTCTGTAGAAATCATTTTAACTATACTTTAAAAAAAAAGAAGAAGAAGAAAAGAAGGCAAGCTTCAGGAATAATGCGTAGCAGCATAGAACAGCAAACAAATCACCTGCTCTACAGGGAAGCCCGTGTAAAACCCGCTGCGTTTCCCAGTGCTGCGGGCCGTTGCGAGAGGACTTGTGCCACAGGTCTGCGCTGGCTGTCCCTCGGCTGCTACGGTGTGAGGCTGGTGACCGCCTTTTTTTTTACTGAAGTTCGGTTAAAAGCATAGGTTCTTGACCACAGGAGGGACTGTGGTGTCCTCCATTCAGCAGACACTAACTGAGGCACGCACTGGTTCCAGGGGAGCTGTCCCCTGACAGGGACGGAGAAAGGGGGGCAGGGCGTTCTGAGGGAGGGGCGGCTCCGGGGCAGCTCTGCCCACGCGGTCGAGTCTGCTTTAGGCTTGGGTTTCTTCTCATTCAGAAGGTAGTCTGGGCGCCGCTGGTCTGTCTGTCTCTCGTGTGAGTGGGTTGCCTGGAACCCAGAGTTCCCGGAGCACTGGGACCGAGAGGGTGGTGAGGTGGGTGGGAGTCAGCGGACGACACTGCTGTGCCCTGTGCAGCGGTTGGGAGGGCCCTGGTCCAGCAGCAGAGACAGAAGGGACAGCGGCAGAGGGCCCGAGAGGGGGCCGTGCTGGCCCAGCTCAGGGCCGCCCCGAGAGCGGAGGGCGTGGGAGCCGCGGAGGGCGTGGGAGCCGCGGGGGAGGCGCACACTCTCCCTCCAGGCGGAGCCGCATCTCCTGGTTTCTGGGCTGGGTCGCTCTGAACGACAGCTTTCTTCTGCTATGACTTGCTCAGTGACCTTGAGCAACCACCTCCCTCCCTCCGTAGTCTGAGCCTAGGCTTGTCCGGCTGTGAAAATGAGCACCCATCCTTGAGCTGCACGCAGGGCCCTCCTGCGACCAGCACGCGAAAGTGATCTTGCGCTTCTTGGCCAGTGGGGATGCGTGCTGGCCCGAAACCCCCGTCCCCTACTCCCGGCTCCCCAGCCACGGGGCAGGGCACTCACGTCTCCCTTGTCCCTTCTGTGTTCCAGGAATAGAGCTGTGTCCCCCTGGAAAACGGTTCATGATCACGATGGTGGCAAGCTTCGTGGCCATGGCGGGGCAGTTCCTCATGCCGGGGCTGGCCGCCCTGTGCCGGGACTGGCAGGTCCTGCAGGCCCTCATCGTCTGCCCCTTCCTGCTCATGCTGCTCTACTGGTCGTGAGTATCCTGCCCGCCGCTGGCCGGGCGCACCTGCACCGCCCCCTGGGGGCCGCGTCCTGGGCACAGACGGGGATCCAGGCCTTGGGTCCCACGGGCCCCAGACTTCCCACCAGTTTCAGCTTGTGATTTTTGTATGGTGGAATTTTCCTTTCTTCTTCTCAAAGTTCATCTGCTAAACATTGTATCTTGGGAAACATTGTAACATACACAAAAGTAGACGGAGGGGTGACCTGAGTCCCAGCTGCCCTTGCCCGGCTCTGGTGACCTGCCCCCTGCTGGACACCTGCCTGCTGGGTGTGCCGACCTGATTTTTATGAATGGGTTTGTGAAGGGCGGGGTCTCGTGGTGGGATGGGGAAATACACTTGGAGATGTCCAGGAGTGATTTAGCAGAACCCCCTCACCTCCAGACTCCAGCCCAGCGTCTGTTTCTGGAGATAAAGTTTTATTGGAACCCAGCTGTGTTCACATGTTGTCACATGTGCCATCCGTGACCACTTTCACGCCCCAGCGTCGGGGCTGAGCGCATGCGTCCCAGGCAGTGTGGCCCCGCCAAGCCGGAAACACTGACTCTGATCCTTTGAAGAAGTTTGCCCACCCCTGCTCTAGGCGAGTCAAGCAGGACTTCTAGAACTGGGTGTAACTTTCAGTTTGGGGCTTGCTGACTTTAGGGAAAAACAAAACAAAAAAACTGAACACACTCCTCTTAAACTCCCCAGGGGATTAATGTTTAGCCAAGGTTAAAACCACTGCTCTTGGATAGAGAGATGTTTATCCAAAAACTAAGTGTTGCACCCTTTCTGTAAATACCTCTTTCTTTCTTCCCGTCCCTCCCACCCGCTCCCAGGGCCGGCCCTCACCCCGCCCGCAGGTGCGAGGTTTACCCCGACTGCACTGCGTTTCTGTGATTTAGTCGCCCATGAAAGCCGACTGCCTGGCGAGCACAGCTGTGTCTTAGCTTTAAGTGCTCCCTGCGGCCGAGACGGCTGTTAACTGGGCTTCCTTATCTAAGATGCCGGGGAGGGGAGACAGCGGCTACCTTCTGACCTAACAGACTGAGCCAACCCCCGCCCTGGCAGTAGGCCCCCCAGCAGGGGACCCTGTGAGCCCAAGTGCAGGTGCGTTTTCCTCCGGAGCCCAGTTCTGGCTCGCGTGTCCTCAGTGCCGCGGCAGCAGTGGGGTAGCGGCAGGAACAGACGAGAAAAAGGCCACCTGCTGGGAGGCCACTGGGCAGCCGCTGCCAACACCGTGCTCCCCTCGCCCGCGCCTCGCCAACCTCCCCGGCCGAGGTCGGACGTCACGCCCCTCTTGCAGGAGCCCTGGGCGTTTCGGGACACCCTGCTCCCTCCAGCCCCCAGAGCAGGTGGAGTGGGCAGCCCTTGCTGCTCTCCCCCTGCTGTGTCCAGAGCTGGGCTCGGGGACGTTTCCTGGTTTAACACATTTACAGTGTTTACGGCCAGACACAGTCGCAAGCACTATGCAGAGTCCATCATTCGGCTGGACACCTCCTCGCCCCATTGGACAGACGACGAAACCGAGAACGGCCAGCTGGTCCCTAAGCCCGGGCCCTGCTGGCCTCCCTGCGCCTCCATCCCTCGTCCCTGAGACCAAAAGGAGCCGCTGCCTTGGCGCCTCCGCTCTGCAGTCAGGAACCCCCACCGTGTCCTCTCACATCCTGGCCTCCACAGCGCCCAAGGGCAGTGGTGCTGTCTGCCGTCCCCCGGGGGCTGGGGGCACAGACTCTTGGAGACTCACAGGCGCCGTCTCCATCAGTGCCAGGCTTTGAGTCTCAGCCCAGCCCCTGCTCCCACCTGTCCCAGGTAGGAGGACACCTGGCAGGGAGAAATGGCAGAGGAGGGTTTCCTGGAGCAGGTCTGGGGGCCGGGACCTTGTGGGAAAGAGATGGAAGGTTTGTTTATCTTATTTTTTTAATTTGAAATTTTAAAAACAGATCAAGGTTTAATGGCAGGTAAAAATGTTCATTTATTTAAATACATTATCAAACCTAAAAGAAGTTCTTTGAAACACACAAATGTAAAAATAAAACTTGACGGTGAGAAGGGCTCCCGGAGTCCAGGGATGAGGAAAACGTGCGCGGACAGACCGAGGGACGCGCCCCAAGGGCCTGGCCGCCGCAGCGTCCACGGTGGGCAGCGCCATCGCTACCGTG